CTAACAAGGGATGTTAAATTTAATATAATTAACCAATCGACTAGTTGATGGAATTTCCATTGACTAGTCAATAAGTGGGGGAGCCACAGCAGCGTTAGCTCCTGATCCTGGGAACTAACCCCACTCCAGCTGGCTCTTAATACATGTAAAAGGCTGGTGCGCAGCGGGGGGAGACCCGGAGCGAGCCAAGAATCCGCTGTCCTGGCTCACACCAGGTCCACCCTGCTGTGCCTCTGCGTTAGCTGGGAATCAGTTGATTCCTGGCTCATGCCCAGTCCCCGCTATCTCCCGGCCCCCTGTGGAGACTGATGGGGGGTGGGGGGGGAACCAACTTTTAAGCTGTCTCCTGATCCCCCCCCAGCACCTGTTCCTGATCCCCCTCCCTTGCTGCCTCTGAGTAGAGGCAGCAGATTGGGGGTAAGCGACTAGTTGAGTCAAATATCCAATAAGCTTATGCTTACATCCCTATTGAAAAGACACAACATTTCTTAGGGAGATGAGATTGTAAAAATAGGAGTTCTTAATCTCTTATCAGTTAAGCCTGTCTGTTTATTTGAAATAACTACTGTGTTTTTCTTGGCTGTTTCTTCAGAAAGTTAACATTTCATGAAATTGGGGAGGTAAACTGATTTACGGTACCAAGCATGATGTCAATACTACAGTTGTGGGATTCTCTGTTAAACCTTTAGATGTCAAATTAAGTTAGGCAAGAATAAAATAAGAATAATTTGTGGCTATCCTCTTGGGATGTAAGTTTTCTGCACAATAGCTGAATTAAATTAGGAAGCTATTTTGATTGAACATTTAAACTGTGGTGCTTGGATCCCAGAAAGGATTAAAATAGGAATATAGAAATTACCATATTGGCTGAAAAGATGAGCTGTTTACATACTCTAGACTCTGACATTGGTCAGTATTAAATGCTTCAGAAAATTGTGCACAAAACCATTATTGGACAAATATTAAATTATTTTGTCCACAGAGAAAAACTTCTTTCTGCCTTCAAGTAGTTGGTTTATGTTAGAGTTCTTAACTTGTGTACACCTTTCATATAACTGTCTTGGAAACATAGGAAGACGCGCACAAAGGCAAACAATCTTTGGCCTAGCTGTTGAGGGAGCAGTCTTTTAGCTCACTCCTCTGTTCTCCCCTCTCCCTCGGTTACTCTCTTCCGTCTCCTCACCCCTCTGTCTTCCTCTGTTGCTCTCCTTTTGAATGCAGCGCTCTCTTGCACTGGCGCCTCTCCCCCGATGTCAAGGATGCACGCACGCTCTGGCCCCGCCCTACGCCCATGTGCGGCCCTGCCCCCACTTCCGGATCTCATCCCAGGACTCGGCTTCCCTGCACGCCGCTCGGCTGAGCGGCTGCATGGGAGCAAGCAGCGCAGACCACTGTCAGAACGCCGTGCAGCACGGGGGTCAGCACCATTGAAGCGTGGGGCGGGTCGCCCTCGCTGCCGTGGGGCGGCTCCGCCCCGTCACAGCTCACCAGTTGCCAAAATGTATTCTCCGTGGGCGAGCGGATTTGTCGAGCCCTGCTTATGTGGAATTCTTTTCATTCTGCTAGTCATTATAATTGCCAGTCTTTGGCTTTCTTTTCTTTTCTCTTCTGAGATGAAGTGATAGGACTTGAACATAGCATTCAAGGTGATTTTTTCCAACAATATTTTGGACATGATGGTGGTATAATACTTGGGCTAAGTTCTGTTCACTGAAAAGCTTCTTCGATAGATTCTCTAAACCTAAAACAGAGTAGGAAGGTCAGGCCATTATTATAGAGCATAACATGACTATAATTTCATTCAAAGAGAACTTTTAATCTTTTACATACTAATTGCCCTGAATTTCTTTACTGACTGGTTTGATTATCTTGCCAATCTTAAGGTGCTCCGGCAGCTTTTTTCCATTTGCTCACAGGTCTGGAATTGAATGTGAGATAATAGAAAGGGCTAAAGGTTAAAATTACATACAACTACTTAAATAAAATAAAATCTAGAGATTATCCTGCCAATTACAGACTGGTAAATCTAACGTCAGTACTGGGTGAATAGGTTGAAAATACAATAAAGAATAAAATTGTCAGGCACACAGATGAACATAATTTGTTGGGGAAAAGTCAACATGGTTTCTGTAAAGGGAATTCATGCCTTACTAATCTACTACAGTTCTTTGAGAGGTCAACAGACATGTGGACAGGGAGGATTCAGTGGATACAGTGTACTTAGATTTTCAGAGGTTTTGACAAGGTCTTTCACCAAAGGCCCTTAAGTAAAGTAAGTTGTTATGGGGTAAGAGAGAAGGTGCTCTCCTGGATTGATAACTGGTTAAAAGACAGGAAACAAAGGGTAGGAATAAATGGTAAATTTTCAGAATGGAAAGAGGTAACTAGTGGTGTCCCCCAAGGGTCCGTACTGGGGTTAGTCAGGCTATTTATCCCTTTCTCCAGATCATATCTAAACAGTGAGATGGCAAAATTTGAAGATGATACTAAACTGCTCATGATAGTTAAGACCAAAGCAGACTGTGAAGAGCTTCAAAAAGATCTCACCAAACCAAGTGATTGGGCAACAGAAAGACAAATGAAATGTAATGTTGATAAATGTAAAGTAATGCACATTGGGAAAAATAATCCCAACTATACAAGCAATATGATGGGGACTAATTTAGCTACAACTACTTGAGAGAGATCTTGGAGTCATTGTGGATAGTTCTCTGAAAACATCCACTCAGTGTGCAGCTGCAGTTAAAAAAGCAAATAGAATGTTAGGAATAATTTAAAAAGGGCTAGAGAATAAGGCACAGAGCATCTTATTGCTTCTACATAAAATAACGCACGCCCACATCTTGAATACTGTGTCCAGATGTGGTCTCGTCTCAAAAAAGGGGTATTAGCATTGGAAAAGGGCAACAAAAATGATGGGGGTTTGGAACGGGTCCCATATGAAGAGAGATTAACAAGACTCGGATTATTCATTTTAGAAAAGAGGAGACTAAAGGGGGATATGATAGAGGTCTATAAAATCATGACTAGTGTGGAAAAAGTGAATAAGGAAAAGTTTTTCAGTTTTCCCACAATATAAGAACTAGGAGTCACCAAATGAAATTAATAGGCAGCAGGTTTAAAACCAACAAAAGGAAGCTTTTCTTCAGTCAGCACACAGTCAACCTGTGGAACTCTTTGCCAGAGGATGTGGTGAAGGCTAGGACTTCAACAGGGTTCAAAAAAGAGCTAGATAGATTCATGGAGGTTAGGTCCATCAACGACTATTAGCCACGTTGGGTAAGAATGGTGTCCCTAGCCTTTGTCTGGAAATGGATGAAGGGATAGGGATCACATGGTGATTACCATTGTGTTCCCTTCCTCTGGGGCATCTGGTTTTGGCCACAGTCAGCAGACAGATTACTGAGCTAAATGGGCCTTTGGTCTGACCCAGTATGGCCATTCTTATGTTTTTAGGTACGTAAGAACAACCATACTGGGTCAGAACAAAGGTCCCTCTAGCCCAGTTATCCTGTGTTCCCATAGTGGCCAATGGCAGGTGCCCCAGAGGGCAAGTAACATGAGTACTAAAGCCTCCTTTTTTTTGTCTTGAGTTGGTGTATCAGGTTCATCACTAGCAAGCAATGTGTTCTGCATAGCACCAAAGAAGAGGCGTTCTTATTTCTGCAGGAGAAAATAAAGGATTCAGTGAGAAATGAGTCTAGGTTTCACCTTTCATAGTTCAGTCCCAGGTTTACCTCAATCCTACCAACATTGAAAACCTTTCTTTCCTCCTCTGAGCATAGAAAGGGTCACAGTGACTTGACAACTGGGATAAAACCTCACTATCCTTTGGAATTACTTCTCTGCCATAAGGATGTTAAATTGCAGTTACCTAGCTAATTGATTAGTCAATAGGACCACTCTGCAGAGCCTTCATGAATGGCAGCCTCCCCTATCTCCTTCACAGCCTTTGATATCCCCCACCCCTGCTGCCCCATCGGATAGTCAAGTAGTGACTCGACTAGTCGCTCCCTCCCCTCCTTCCTGCCTCTCTTAGAGGGAGGCAGGAAGGGGGAGGAGCAGGAGCCCGTGCTGGAGGGAGCCAGCACCAGCTCCTGCTCACCCCTTTTGCTGCCTCTTTGATAGAAGCATCAAGGCGGTTGGGGAGGAGGTGACTAGTTGAGTCATTATTCGTCTATCTAATAAGCTTAAGCTTATCAGATAGATAGTCAACTACTGGTTGGACCTTCCTGGTCTGGCACCATTGGGACCTGATGGATCCTATGAGGAATTTTGCCAGACCAGGGGAGGTCACTTCTAAATCCCCTGCTGCTGTCCTGCACCAGCACCACCCGCTCCTCCTCCACCTGGCCCACTGGCCTCCCAGCCAGCTCTTCACCTCTTGCTAGCCTGCTACCCTACCAATCCTGCTGGGCAGCCATTCCTACCCTGGCTCCAGGATAGGGCTACCGCAGCTCCCAGCCCTAATGGGCAGACTTGCTGCCACATGCTGATGGTGGGCTTAATGCAGGAAGCCCACTGTCCTGCCAGCCCCGCAGGGATTCTTCCCATTGGCCGTCCACTGGGACTTTCTGGTCCTTCAATAGCCATGCCGGACCATGTATATTGCCACACCAGAAGATCCCAGTTAAGAGATTTTCAGCCTATAGTCACTTACATGCCTTCTCTGCCATTCCCTTGCCACTTTCTGAGTCTTGCTTGGCCAAATTTGTGAAAAATTTAAGTACTATTTTTTAAACGAAGGTCTGAACTTATATTCTTAACGAAAACAATAACAACAGGAATAAAGGGTCCAATCTGCATGTTGAAATGGCTTTGTGATTTCTAACCTTTCTGTTTAATACATAAGCATGTTTTACAATTAGCTAAATTGGTGGTAAAGAAGCATCAGATTTCAAAGGTATACAAGATCTGTTCATAAACATCAAGTCTTTCATAATATTCATTTTACTAATTTTTTGTTGCATACAACAGTTATTCCTTAATAGCATTATCAGTTTTGGTCGGCCAGGAGTTGAATGCTACTGCCAACATGACAGTGGAGCCGCAGTAATCCAGCTCCAGTTCCTGATTAATGAGGTTAGTAAAGAGTTTAATTTTTACTGTAAATCAAAAGAATTTACATCATCTTTAAGGCTATGTTTTTAAAGCTTCCAAATACAAATAAGAATATGAATCACGATTTTGTTTGCTGAATAGTGATATAAGGTATGGACAGCAAATAGAACTTATTTTTTGCTTTGTTCTAAGAAATAAAAGAAGTGTACAAATATAAATTATTACCAAAATAATTTTCTATTTGGGGTATTTTATCAAGATAATAGTATTAATAATCTTTCTTAGAAATACTATGGTCAGATATTGCAGAATGGGTAAGCTTGAAGGCTTGTCTCTCTTAACAGAAGTTGGTACAGAAAAAAATATTACCTCATTCACCTCCTCTTTCTAAATATTGCAGAAGCTATTTAGATAGGCCTTTATTGACAAAGATTGTGAATTGAGTAGCTACACATGGAATTTAAAGGGATGCCATTAATATGAATTATAGGTCATTTAAAAGTGATTAGTTTATCTACACTGGCCAAATGTTGTGGCTTCAGAATTCTGGATTTTAAAGATTTTTTTTTTACACTCTTATTGCTTAGCTCAAACAGAAAAGTAACAAAAATGCTGCCATGCAAAAAGTAAATCTGGCAAAATAAAAATGTTTTTTCTATAGATTCTAAATATAGTATACAGATATGTAACTTGTAAGAGTTAGTAGATGTAAACGTTCACGTAGAATTGTTTTTTAATATATGAACTTTGTGATAGTTTCAAGAATATTCATAAAACGTGATGCAGTAGTCTGGGATCTTGTGGAACAAATGACAAGGGATATAACCAGAATCTCCCTTTCTTTCTACTAAGCAATATGTGACTTATTATGGAAGTAGGCTTTTTACCTGTGTTGAAATACACATTGCATGTTATATTTACTGTGATCGAGTAGCGTAAAATATGTACTTTGTCAATAAATGGAAATGGTACTCATTTCTATGTTTTATTATTGTCCTGGTTGCATTTTACCTCAAAAGTCAATTTTTAAAGTTGAAGCTGCTCCCTAAAGAACAAACTTACTATAAAACTTTTCAGTTTTAATCATGGTCTTGCTATATATTTTCTTCATGTTGATGTTGGTAAACAGGTCTGTGGAAACTTATTATTACTTAAGTGAAAGATGCTATATACGTCTAAGTGTGAATGATACTTTTTCTTAAGGGAGCTCTTGTGAGTGCCTTGGCTGATGACACCTTACACCTGTGGAATTTACGTCAAAAGAGACCGGCTATCCTTCATTCACTCAAATTTAACAGAGAAAGGTAAGAATTGGGTCATGATCAACTGAAAATGTATATTTTTAAAAGTATGTGTGTGTAGGTGTGCAATATATTTTAAAGAACAGTTAGTTTGCAATTAATCAATCTCAAGAATATCTTACCTACACGGCCACATATTAAGATTCTGGTCCTGCAACCGATTGCTTAGGCTTTAGTTGCAGAATAATTGGGACCTAAGTTAGTTGATTCAAGTAGAAACACTAAGTAACTAAGGTATTTAAACACCCGTTTATTTTCTGTACAGTTACTTGCAACTCAGTTGTCTCACAAGAAGGTGTGCTAAAGTTAACATGATTAAAATTACTTATAGCCAGATCCAAAACACAATAAAGTAAATAGAAGTCTTTCCAGAGAGTAAATGCACTTTGAATTTGACACTTCATTATCAGTTGTATTTACATGTCCAGTGTATCTTTTGACTTCCTTTGAAATTAAAAGGAATTAAAGAAATTGAAAACTTGTAGCCTAATGGAAGACTAGAATGTCATTGATTAGTAAAATGCTATTCCTAATTTAAGTACTAAGTACAACAAAAGCATGCTTGTGTGGATAGGGTAAACATTCTATAGTACAGGTTGAACCTCTCTAATCTAGCACACTCTGGTCCAGCAAATCCGTGGCCTAGCATGATGTTAGTTATCATGGGGGTGGTCAAGTTTCCCACAGTCCCCTTTTAGAGTTTATTTACAGCCACCAGTCCTGACTCTCAGTGCTCTGTGCTGTTATTTAGCTCCAGTTTACCCCTAAATGTCTTCTAAGAGCTCAGTAAGCAGTTGAAATGATGGTAATGCTTCTAGGCCCAGGGGTGTGCAATAATTTTTGATGGTTAAGGGCCACACTCTTCCATATTAAAGGAGAAGGTACAGGGTCTAGGATAGGATGTAAGCGAGTGGTCGACTAATCGATAAGCCTGGGCATTTCCCTTTCCCTCCCCCCACCGCTGTCTCTGTATCAGAGGCAGCATGGGGGCAGGGGAAACAGAAGCAGGAGCTGGTGCTCTCTCACAGCTCGAGGACAGGGGAAGAGGCAGGGGAGGCTGCCTGTCCACCAGGTACTTTACCACATTTAAACTGCAGAGCCACAACGGGGGAACTCCCGGCTTAAATCTAGGCTTTTCAGTTAATTGAAATGACTACATTTAACACATGATACATGATACAGAGGCAGTAGTGTGGGTTGGCAGGGGACTCTGGGGAGTGAACCAGAAGCCAGGAGCACACTGACTACTGGCTCTGCCCCCGTGGAGTATTTTAGTAATCATTCAATAGCTAAAAATCGTGGCTACGTGATTACTAAAATACGCAAAATCTAACATCCCTAGATTGTAGATGTTGACTGCAATGTCATTGGCATAAGTGTGGGATCTTTGATAAATGTGTGACTCTTTCACAGATAAAAGATACTTTGAGTATGATATATATGAATTTTAGCAGGATAAAAGCAAAGTAGGTAACCAAATGTGAGCAATCTATCAGGAGCTGCAAAGACAAATTTTGCATGTTCTCTGGTTATAAACAACTGTTTGTGTCTCACTATCAAAATTATTTTATTTACATAATTTAATTAATTTCATGGTCTCTAAATTAGACATTTAGATCTAATATTTAGACAATCTAGACATAGACATAATTTAGATCTGCAAAAAAAAGGCCTCGTGAGATATTAAGTGGTCAAAATACTCTCTAGAATGCTAACAAATGCCTTCAGTACTACATTCACATTTGGTATTGTGGATTAAGTTTTACTAGCTTCCTTGAATGGTCGAAAGATAACTGACCATATTGTTTATAAAATAAAACAAAACAAATTACATACTCCAACTCTGTTAGGGGATAGACGCGTGAAGTAACATTGTATTATGATTACTCCTGGGAAACATAGGTATATTGAAGGCAAATAATTCTAAATCCTCCATTCTTGGCGTGTAATGTACTTCTGGAAAGTGTACAATGAATTTTATTTAACTGGATGATAAGTACTCTTAGTAAGTTTTGTGTTTTTATATAAAAATTATTTTTAATTATTTTGATATAGTTTACAATGCCTTTGCTCGGATCAGTTAATTTCTTTGGCTTTTTTTTGGTACAATAAGGGTATATCTACACAGCAGGGCTAAAGTCAAATTAAGCTATGCAACTTCAGCTATATCAATTGCATAGCTGATATATGCACTGTCTACACAGCAAGAAGTCAAAGGAAAAACACTCTTCCTTTGACTTCCCTTACTCCTCATGAAATGACGGTTACCATGAGTCACAGTAAGAAGTCCTCTAGCTCAACATTATTTCGAAATAAAGGCTTGTAGTGTAGATGCTCACTATGTTATTTTGGAATAATGTCAGTTATTCCAAAATAACACTGCTGTGTAGATGTACCGAATGGGAAGAGAAATTTCCTGTAAGCATAGTTGTATGACTTGTGACTTGAAAATAACCTAGGCCAACTTATTAAAAAATAATCTTCAGGATGTCATTTTTATTGTACTTGGATTTTTATTATTTGCTTACAGCTGATACTAATACCTCAAATATCAAATACTGAAATTAATTCTTATGCTAATCTTTTGTAATTTAAAAACATTTAAACATTTAATATTTGTATAGTTACAAATATACATAAATTATCCAAATTGGAAAAGATCATAGAACAAGTTAGATCACTTTGCTTTTATGTCCTTGCACCGCTCCAAAGCATACTACTCTTCAAAATAATCTAGTATTGAACATTTGAGACATTTGAAAGGGGTCTTTGCACAATGGGATCAATACTGAAAAAAACTCTTAAAGACAGTTGCTGTAGGATAAGTAAGCATTTTTTTTCCTTACATAAATTGTTCCAATGATTAATTACATTCGGTATTTCAAACTTGAAATAAAGATGCAAATTTTAAAATTTCAACTTCTAGCTATTGGTTCTTGCTAAACCCTTCTAGTTTTGGGTTTCTTACCCTTGTGTGTGTGTGTGTGTGTGTGTGTGTGTGTGTGTGTGTGTGTGTGTGTGTGTGTGTATGAGTGTGTGTATGTAAGCACGCATGCACGATGAGAGAGAGAGAGAGAGAGAGGGATGTAAGCGACTAGTCAACTAACCAGTAGGCAGGAGCTTATCAGTTAGCACTATCAACTCGTCACGTTCCCCCCATTAGTATCACCCCATTTGCAGCTCTTCAATATTGAGAGACGGGAGCCAGTATGCTAAGACACCGGCTCAGCACCTGCTCCTGCAGGTGATGAGTCAGCCCACATAACCATAGGAGATGAGTGGGTGAGGAAGCAGGTTATGGGGGTTGACCCATCACCTGCGGGAGCCAGGACTGAGCTGGCATCTTCACACACCGACTCACCAGTCCCTTATAACGCAGAGTGGCAGTGTGGGAGATTATTCTGGGACCCGGCACAAGCCAGATTGAGCACTGTAATGCAATCCTTATCAAGTAGTCAATAGAAAAAATCTGTCGACTACTTGATTAGGAAGTAACCACATTTTAACATCCTTAGTCTAAGATACAGAAATAATAAATGGCTATTCCGAGGTGTTTTTTCAAATACAAGAATATATCTTAAATGTATAGGATATGGATGCTGAAAATGATTGGTTGAAATATAGATGTTGAGGGAATTGATCATAGAGAAGACTTCTGATCAGGCACTGTACACCCTCTCTCAGACTCTATTCTGTTAATACATGTTATAGGACAGCCATTCAAGTTTTAGCGCTTATTTTTTATAGTCACACAGACATCGCCACATAAAATGACACTGAACATAATAATTGCTTCCTTATCACTCACTGCAGTCCATTCAAAACCAAAACAGCAAGCATCAACCTTTTTGATTTTCAAATATTTGTAATAAAGGAGACCAAAACTTTTCTGAAAAGTTGCAGCTGTCTAGTGGTTTTTTTTGTTTTTTTTAATTGATGGAAATGACATTTGGCAATACTTTCTTAAGCTTATTCATCAAAGTCAACTGCACTACTTTAACTAGTGGTGAATACCTAATTGTGTGTTTGTCAATATATAGGGCATATGCAGTGTGCATGCTTTGTACATTATAGGAAATGCATGGGAATGTCTGTATCATAAGGAAAATATATACACAAGGGATCGAAACTGGACTAATGGAGTCAATCAAAAAACTCATACAAACAGCTTTGGGCATCACAGTGGCTCAGGAAGAACTCCCTGAATGCACAGATCTAATGTGATGTACAGTGGAAGATAGATGACCGATGGGTCAGATCCTGAAAGAGACAGTTACCCCAAAAAACATACACAATTAGAATGTAATTAGTCTTCAGCTGGAAATTGAAAAGCACTGCTGAGTTATATTGCTTGATAGCATTGGTGCTACCTAATCTTTCAGTAGACATTTTCTAAGGAAATAGCTCTTCCATTTGTTCCAGCTCAACTTTATAGTTTCAAATTATAAGTAGAAACAGAAAAATAAGGAAAGGAGCTGTGAATGGGTGGGGGGTGGGGATGAAATAAACACAGCATATGATGAATTTTGTTCTTTAGAGACAGTACATTTACCAACAAAAAACTTTGACTAAAGTTAAAGTTGCTTGTCAGTTCTTTGTACCTTTCCAGAGCATGAAAGTTAGAAGCTAAAAACAGAAAGCTCTCAGAACCAGTAAAAGTTCTCAACCCCACAAAAACAGGGACATTAGTAAAAGCCAGAAAATTGACAGTATGTTAAAGTGAAGGTTGTGCTTCCTGAAAATCAGCAAGAGCATTATTATGTAGCTAATTTTAAAAATTAAAAACACTCTTAACACCTTCAACTCATTTTGTACTTCAAGTACTGTACATTTAGAGGATACATGTTTTCATAGATGATAAACATTTACTCTGCTTTACTTTAGTATAACCTTACGTATAAAACAGCCTTTCTGTCACATCCATAATGAAATATATAGGACCATTTAGGATGTACTACTACTGTGTTTGTTCAAGAGGATGTTGTATATTGGAAGCAAATCAT